CTCTTATACACATCTAGATGTGTATAAGAGACAGGTATACCAAGGATCCACGATGTGATGAAAAGGACTGAAATGGACAATGCAAGATCAGCGCAGCATCAACAAGCAATGTACATCCCGATACATACAAGATGGCACAAAATGGCACAACGGAAGACTTGAAAGAGAAGATCTGATCTGATCGGGACTGACCCGACATCCATCACGCATCACACATGGGCGAGAGAGGAGGGACCGCATCATGGAAGGAAGGTCCCCCCTTCGTACACACATGGGGAGAAACCACGGATGAGAGATGGGGGAGGGCAAGACGAAAGAGAGAGGAGGCGAGAGAGTAGACCAAGATCGCAATAGTCTCCTGCGGAATGTCCAAACAATGTCTGTCTCAAAAATGTCGAATCAGAACCTGTGCAATGTGCCCATTACAACCCCTACCTGAATCCCTACTGATAACCCCTCACACTCTCGTGAATGAAGAACAAAGAAGATACGAAGGAGGAAGGAGGGAGAAGGAGGAGAGAGAGAGAGAGAGAGAGAGAGAGAGATATGGAGGGAGCGAAGAAGATGAGGCCCTCCTCATTATCTCACCTGCAGGTAGCTGTCACCGTACTGACTGTGTCCTTGTCGTTATCAGGTACCGCGTGGAGCCCAGCTATGGCGCCAGGTAAGCTCGCCGCTGGCAGGTATGGCCCCCGCCACTCTCTATCTCGCCTAGCCTCTACTCTCTACCCCACTATCTAGCGCAGCATGGCGCAGCCTCCAACCAGCAGCGTGTCGCTCAGAAGTGAGCTACCCGAACTGTCCGTTGCCCAGCTGCTGCCCAGCTATATGTAGTGCTGGGCCGCTAGGCCTACCTGGTACTATGTGGCCTAAAACGGCCCAGGTGGTCTGGGTCCCTACCGAACATCCAGACCTTGATGCTGTTGTAGCATGGCGCAGAAATGTGCCTGGCCTAAAAACAGCCATCTACCGGTCCACCTGGCCCAAGGTGCTGTCTTGGGCCCTGCAGGACCGAAACGATGCCGGTTTGGCGCTAAAATTTGCCTCTCTTCATTTCGAGCCTGCCTTCGGTGTACCTAGTCCCAAGGTCCGGCCTTGGGGCTGCGAATCCGAAACGGCACCTGAACAGACAAAAATAAGACAGCACACACACACAGAAAAAGGGTAAGTAAACGAAAACCTACCTACCTACGTGCTGCCTACGGCGTGGGGGGCCGTCGTGGGCCTTCAGGGCGAGTGCTGGATAGTACGCGGCCTGGGGGCCTCTCAGCAACCGTCGGGCCCCTCAAACGGGGCCCGTGTGCAGGCTCAGCATGCAACGCCCCCCCCTCCTTATGAAGTCAAGCCGGTCGGGGGCGAAGCTGATGATCTGGCGGTACTTGGACGCGTGTGCGTCGTGGAGCCAACGATGCCGGCTTGCCTTTCAACTTCTGTTCGTAGCGAGCGAGGGCATCGGGCGCTGTTGCCTGAAGTTCCGCACGAGTCAGCCATCGGTCAGCTCTATGGGTGCAGTATGCGAAGTGGACCAAAAATTAAGTCGGCCTGTTACCGTAACGTCGCTGGGATATGATGTCGCCAACCTCTTGAAAACCGTCCATTGAGGGTGGGTCTTGCGATCGTCGCCCGGGAAAGTCGTCAAGTTCCGCTGGCCTGTAGAGGACCAACATGGAACAATGGAAGACCGGGTTGACGGGCAAGTGGGCGGGCACCTTAATGACAAATGAAGGTCCTTCGGGTGCGTCCCTAGCGGGTGCCTCAATCGGCCAGGGCCCCATCCATTTCGGAAGGAGTTTGCGGGAGATGTCTTGTTCGAGGCTGGATTTTGCAGCGGAGACCCATACGAGGTCGTCGGCGCAGAATGGACAAGGAAGACGCTGGCGGTTGGCCTGTTGGCACATACGTTGCTGCGTCTTTGCCATCTGGTCATGTGCCTTGACAAGAAGCTCTTGCATCCGACGAATGAAGAGGAGGTGGTCGTCGCTCTCGGCCGTCCGTGGAAGGAATGTGTCCAACGGAGAATTGACCGGCGAGCCATGCTCAAACTCAAAGGGCGATATCCTGATAGCCGGATGGATGGACGAGTTGTATGCCAACTCGACATCCGGCAGCCGCTCAACCCAATCTTTCTGGTCGGGATGGATGAGAGTTCGAAGAAGGACCTGTGCGGTTTGATGTGCCCTCTCCGTTTGACCATCGGTTTGGGGGTGACGAGCCAAACTTGGCTTGAGGGATGAGCCCCATCGTTTGATGAGCGCCAACCAAAAATCGGATTTGAACCGAGTGTCGTGGTCGCAGACGATCTCCTTGGGGTAACCCTTGGTTTGAATCCAACCGGCGTAGAGAATCTCGGCCAACTCCGGTGCCTTGGCATGATAGCGGCAAGGCAAGAACATGGCAAACTTGGTGAGGCGGTCAACCACCGTGAGAATCCCATCGACGATCGTCTTGTGCTTGGGGAACGGCCAGGTGATGAGCATGGCAATCGCTTTCCTTCGGGGCAAGGGGACCGGCAATGGTCGCAGTTCGCCCTAAGGACGATGATTGCGAGGTTTGCAACGTTGGCAAACTTCGCATGACTCGCAATAGCGCATGACGTCGTCGAGGAGACCGGGCCACCAAAAGCGCTCGCGTAGTCGGCCAATCGTGCGATTGACTCCAAAGTGTCCAGTGGCGGGGGCGTCATGGAACTCACCAAGAAGCCGGGTGCGCAAATGTGAATCTTGCGGCACACAAAGAAGATCCCTCCCTCGCGAGTGGAGAAGCAAGTATCCCTCTTGTATCCGATAGTGCGAAGGCGCCGGATTGGGAGAGGAACAGTTTGCGTACTTGTCGCGAAACTCAGGGTCGGCTTGATAGCCGCGGATGAAGCTGTCCCGCAAGTCGTCCTCGATCTCGAAGGTTGAGTAGACCGCGGTGCAGTGGTCCGGACGCCGCAAAAGGGCATCCCCAAAGCGGTTCGACTTCCCCGGAATGTGGTTGGGAAAGAAGTCAAATTGGTCGATGAAGGTTATCCAACGGGCAATGGTGTTGTTGACGGTGTCTTGCGACTTGTAGAGCACCAACGGATTGTTGTTCGTTACCCACCGGAACTGGCGTCGACTGAGGAGGAAGTGCCGCCATCGCTTGAGTGCGTGGACGAAGGCGAGAAGTTGCTTCTTGCATGCATCGTCGATGGAGTGCACGGCCGGCACTTTCTTGCTGAAATATTTGAACGGGTGTCAATCCACGCCGTCATGTTGCTCAAGGACGGCACCAATGCCATAGCCGGATGTGTCCGTGGTGACGTGCGTTGGCAATAGCGGGTCGTATATCCGCAATACCTCCACGGAAAGCAATGCGGCCTTGAGGGCCAAGAATGATTCCCGCGCGTCCATCCCAAAGTCAAACGGTCGGTCCTCGCATTGAAGCTTGGTTAAGTGAGCCGCGATCTTCGAGTAGCCTTTCATGAAGCGTTGGTAGTAGTCGGCGAGGCCAAGGAATGATTGGACATCCGTGACGTTCCGTGGCTCCGGCCAATCTTGGACAGCTCGAATCTTGCTCGACAACGGACTAATGCCTTGTGGAGTGACGAAGTGACCCGAGTATTCCAACTCTTGACGCACGAACTCGCACTTGTCGCTGTTGGCTTTGAACTTGGTGCGCCGGAGTGTCTCCAACACTCGTTGAGGATGGTCAAGATGTTCCTCCAAGGTCCGGCTATAGACGAGGATGTCGTCCAAGTAGACCAGCACGAACCGGTTCAACATTGCTCGGAACTCGTTGGTCATAGCCGCTTGAAAACTCACCAGGGCGTTGGTGAGTCCAAAAGGCATAACAACCCACTCAAAGTGCCCGTACCGTGTCTTAAACGCAGTCTTGTAGCGATCTTGCGGCCGAATCGAGATCTGATGATATCCTGACTTCAAATCCAGCTTAGAAAAGAATTCCGCGCCGCCCAAGCACTCCAGAAGGTCGTCAATACGAGGAAGAGGTCCCACGTTCTTGACGGTTTGTGCATTGAGCTTGCGGTAATCGATGCATAGGCGAAGGTCCTTGTTCTTCTTCCGAACGAAGAGAACTGGTGCACCATAGGGTGAGCTGCGCGCGGAGTACTGTAAGTTCCTCCTCGCTCATGCGGTAAATGCAACCTTTTGGCGGCACGGCACCGGCCTCGAGAATGATCTCGTGAGAGATTGGCCGATCCGGCACCACGCCGGTAGGTGACTCGAAGACTTCGGCAAATTCGTCGAGCAACCGCACTACCAAGGGGTCTGAAGACAAGTCTGTAGGTTGAGAGTCGGCTACCGCGACGGTTCGAAGAAAACATACACCGATCTCTTCGGTCCGCTCGTAAGCACAAGTGGCCCGAAAAGACTTGGCGGTTACCACTTGGCACCGGATCGAAGGGTGCGGAGGAGGAATCGTACATGGTACTTCGGCGCCGAACGCGTCGCGAACCGTGAGTGCCCGCCGGTGGAAGTTGACCGTGTGATCCGCACTTGCAAGCCAAGGCATGCCCAAAATGATGTCGAAGTCCGTGTCCAAGGCGTCGAATGTCACCGGTTCGCATGCATGAGGTGCGAAATAAACCGGGACGGCTGCGATGTAGCGATCAAGGAGTTGTTGCGTTTGACTGTCCGCCAACTTGATCGTCGTAGGGTGTGCCTTCCTTCGAACTTGTGGTCCAAGGCCAGCCCTTTGCATGAAGGACTGGCTAACGAAGTTGCGAGTCGCGCCGCTATCCAGCAAAGCACTGCAGGACGCTTGCCCGATTTGGATGCAGACATAGAGGAGCAGTGCGTTGTTGTCGTCGTACCGCTACGTGCGAAACTCGTGGGCCACCTTGCTCACATACGCAAGAATGTCCCCCACCGCGACCTCGTCCTCCGTAGGCGAAGTTGGTGGTGCATAGAAGGCAAGGTTTGTATGCAAATAAGCGCGAAGAGTTGCGCATTGCGGCTCCGGTAAGCAGCCGGTGGAAGGGAGAGGAAGCCATGAAAAATCCTCGGGCGTCAACGGATCCAAATCCTCAATGTTGAACACGTGCGCCGAATCCCGTGCAGGTCCACTTGAAGACGAATCAATGTTGCTGCTTGCGATCGGAGAAGAGACCGCACATACATCCTCTCCTTGGGCTCGTGAATCCAGTGGAGGTACGGGCCGGGCAGCATAGTCCTCGAAAGAATGAAGAATAGGAGGACTTACGACGTCCGCATGTGCCCCGGAACCAAGGGAGGTTACCCGACCGGCAACCGGTTCCGAAGGCGTCGAGAGTATCGTCGCAACACTCTCGACGTTGCTCACTTTCCCGACTGAGCGGGGGCCTTGGCTTTTGTGGGGCAGTTCGCGGTCTCATGGGCCGCGCAATTGCACCACAAACAATAACGGTACTTGGTGCGGACGCGATACCCGCGCTCCGTCAGCCTGTACGCTCTCCAAGGTCCTTGAGCTGGAGCTGCTTGCCCGGGCCTAGAAGAAGTATTGGTGTTGGTCTTCGGCTTGCCGCGTCCTCGTCCTTTGGCGGGGCGGCCACCATTCTGGGCAGCTGCGAGTCTGTCTCCCTCGTCAGACGAAACAGCCTCGTTTGAAGTAGAAGGGTCGCTAGTCGTTGCCGCTGCGACCACGGCCACTTTAGGCCGATGATGGTGGGCGCTCTGGCCGGCAATTGACAAGGGGCCCGTATTCCAGGCTGCCAAGTTCGTCACAATGATCTGCGCGGCCTTGTTGAAGAGTTCCTCGCTTGTAGTGAGGGTGTCGGCGACATGAGTCAACACATTCTGCAACGTCGGGCACGACCTCTTGACGAAATAAAGCTTGATGCCGTCGAAGTTCAGCGGCAGCTTGGGCATGCTTGCGAGGTGTTGGAACTCGGAAATCCAGTCTCCGCTTGGCATGTTGTTCTGCGAAAATGTCAGCAGCTTGTCCATCGCCTTGTGCTCGGGCGGTTCTACTTGGAAGCGCTTCTTCCATGCCGTCGTGAGATCCGCCCAGGTGATGTACTTGTGCAACTCGGTGACTGTACATGCATGGGCGGACAGCATGTTGTCCAACCATGCCTGACATGCGCCTCCCGAGCGGGAGTACAAATATGCATGCCGATTCTCGTTGGCGACGTGGTGGAGGTCCAGCTTGAGTTCGAACTGGTGCCACCATTGTATGGGGTCCGTCTTCAATGCGTCACAGAAGATCGGGAGCCCGTCAAACTTGACAATGGTCTCGCATGGCGCCGTGCTGGAGCTGGGTGCGGCACAGACGTGCTGTTGCGCCCCGGCCTTGAGTGTCCCCACGTCGATCTCCAAGACGTTGACGCGGTCGACGAGGTCGGAGGGGCCGACGTTGGCATTGGCGTTAGCGACTTGCTGCTCCAGCTGCTGAATGCGCTTGAGCATCTGGTCTGACGACTGTTGCAGCGCCTTGTTAGCGTGGTCGAGGGAGTAGATGTCCTCCTGCTGTGCGATGCAAGTCGCGAGGAGGTCCGTGACACGGTTGAAAAGTTGAGATACTATGCTACCGACGTCAACGGGATCGCCGTTCTCGGCCTCTATCTGCCAATCCCTAGCCTGTGCGTGTAATGCACTTTCCTCCCTGAATATAATTTTGTGTCGCCGTACACGTTCTTCATCAGCGGCCTTGGCTGCTGCTGCCACGTGCTTCTGTCGCTGTTCTTCAGCCAGAAGACATAGYCTCTCTGCCTCTGCTTCTTTCTTATTCCGTGCTGCTGCCGTTGCGTCTGCACGCTGCTTGGTGTCGGTCATGATGGCCGCCAGCCATGCCTCGTAGGCCTCGTCAGTCTCGCCTGCTTTCTGGTCCATCGTTGCTGTATGCGAGCGAGTGAGTATGGTCATGCGCGGCGGGTCCCTGACGTGGCCTGCTGAAGCGAGGACTTACCAGGCCTGCAACTGCAGGTGAATGGGCAGGAAAGAAGGACGGAGAAGGGTTGAAGAGTTAAGGGGGAGAGAAAATTGGAAACTTGCAGTGATTTCGAAAAAAGAAAAAAAAATCGAATTTGCAAGCTCGGTAGGCCCTCGAAATATCCCCTCAGAAGCCAATTAAAAAAAAATCGAATTTTAGGCTGCAAATGAATCAAAATCGTAAATGGAGATGAATGGGATGCTGAACTGCGAAAACAGAAAAAAAGAAACAATTTTCGCAGGTCCAGAAATTTCAGAAAAAATTCGGAATATATTAAGTGAGAGTATACGTAGTTTGAAAACAAGCGTTGTAAGAGGTGTTTCCCGGAAAGCAATGTCCGAAATATCCAGAAGAATTTCCGAAAAATAAAATTTCGAAATTGAAAAAAAAACAAATTTCGGGAATTTTCGGAATTAATAAAAAAAACGAATTCCACAAAATTTCGGAGTTGAAAAACGAATTTCAGAAAGAATTTCGAAACTTTGGAAAACGAATTTCAGAAATAATTTTGAATTTCATAAATAATTTCGGAAGTGAGAAAAACGAATTCCAGAAATGATTTCGAATTTTCAGAAATAATTTCGAAGTGAAAAACGAATTTCAAAGATAATTTTGAAATTTGAAAAACGAATTTCAGAAATAATTTTCGAAATTGAAAATCGAGAATTCAGAAAATTTTCGAAGTTGAAAAACGAATTCAGAAATACTTTCGGAAATGAAAACGAACTTCAGAAAGTGAAAAACGAATTTCAAGAAGTGAAAAACGAATTTCAGAAAAAGATTTTTGGAATAACGGGAATTTTTTCATAACGGGATGAAATCGAAACTTTTCGGAAAAAAAAAATCGGACTTCTCTGCCGCGAAATTTCGAATCACAGAAACAAGAAGAAAATTCGAAATGTCGGATAAAAATTCGCGGAATAAATAATGGGAAATCGCAGTATTTCGGATCTTCAGCAACGAAGTTTCGGGTTCCAAGAAAGGAAAAACGAACCTTCAGATGTTCCGCTATTGTTGAAGAAAAGAAATAGCGAAAAAACGAATCCAAAGCAGAAAGGAAAATTTTTTTTTTTGATTTCGGCGGTTGGGTCCAAGTTTCGCGATTTGGGGACCAATTAGTATGACCTAATCAATCAATCAATCAATCAATCAATCAATCAATCAATCAATCAATCAATCAATCAATCAATCAATACTCAATCAATCAATCAATACGGGATCAACCAATCAATCCAGGATCGATTGATCGATCAATCGTTACTTCACCCAATCGATTTTGGGTGGTCCTCATACGCGCGTCAGATCAGGTTCGTCCTGATTCACATTTGCAGCTTCGATACCAAAACTGATGCATGCTCAGGGGAGCAATGCGCAGTATACCAAGGATCCACGATGTGATGAAAAGGACTGAAATGGACAATGCAAGATCAGCGCAGCATCAACAAGCAATGTACATCCCAATACATACAAGATGGCACGAAATGACACAACGGAAGACTTGAAAGAGAAGATCTGATCTGATCGGGACTGACCCGACATCCATCACGCATCACAAATGGGCGAGAGAGGAGGAACCGCAATCATGGAAGGAAGGTCCCTCCTTCGTACACACATGGGGAGAAACCACGGATGAGAGATGGGGGAGGGCAAGACGAAAGAGGGAGGAGGCGAGAGAGTAGACCAAGATCGCAATAGTCTCCTGCGGAATGTCCAAACAATGTCTGTCTCAGAAATGTCGAATCCGATCCAGGGCAATGTGCCCATTACAACCCCTACCTGAATCCCTACTGATAACCCCTCACACTCTCGTGAATGAAGAAGAAGAAGATACGAAGGAGGAAGGAGGGAGAAGGAGGAGAGAGAGAGAGAGAGAGAGAGATATGGAGGAGGGAGCGAAGAAGATGAGGCCCTCCTCGTTATCTCACCTGCAGGTAGCTGTCACCGTACTGACTGTGTCCTTGTCGTGTGTAGGTACCGCGTGGAGCCCAGCTATGGCGCCAGGTAAGCTCGCCGCTGGCAGGTATGGCCTCCGCCACTCTCTATCTCGCCTAGCCTCTACTCTCTATTCCACTATCTAGCGCAGCATGGCGCAGCCTCCAACCAGCAGCGTGTCGCTCAGAAGTGAGCTACCCGAACAGTCCGTTGCCCCGCTGCTGCCCAGCTATATGTAGTGCTGGGACGCTGGGCCTACCTGGTACTTTGTGGCCTAAAACGGCCCTGATGGTCTGGGTCCCTACAGGACATCCAGACCTTGCTGCTGCTGCAGCATGGCGCAGAAATGCGCCTGGCCTAAAAACGGCCATCTACCGGTGCACCTGGCCCAAGGTGCTGTCTTGGGCCCTGCAGGACCGAAACGACGCCAGTTTGGCGCCAAAATGCGCCTTGCCACGTTTCAGGCCTGCCTCCGGTGTACCTGGTCCCAAGGTCCGGCCTTGGGGCTGCAAATCTGAAACGACACCTGAACAGACAAAAATAAGACAGCACACACACACAGAAAAAGGGTAAGTAAACGAGAACCTACCTACCTACGTGCTGCCTAGGGCCTGGAGAGCCGTCGTGGGCCTTCAGGGTGCGTGGTGGATAGTACGCGGTCCGGGGGCCTCTCAGCAACCGTCGGGCCCCTCAAATGGGGCCCGTGTGCAGGCTCAACATGCAACACACACACACGCACACACACACACACACACACACACACACACACACACACACACAC